GTAGGTTTTGGGGCCTACAGCATGTGTGTGCTGCAAGGGTTTGCATATGTGTGCGAAGGAGCTGTCACACAGAGCTGGCATCACAGTCCAGTTTGCCATCTCTTCCTCAGCTTGACAAGTCCCTGCTCCCTACCCTGTGGCTAACACACATGCAAGCGCACACTCTGCCGCTCTGCCTCTCTCACTCCATTGTCACACACACACACACACTAATCACAAACTTACATGTATTGTTTGAATGCATGAGATGAATACATTCATAATTGCACATGCACTGGTGCAAATGCACAGACAGCCATATGCTGCATACCGTATTACACAGTGAGTGTGTTTGACAAAACATGCAGCATTCCCTGGACACCCTGACAGTAACGTTGTTCCTGAAACTTGGAGCTTTCACATTAAATGTAAACTGTTTCATTTCTTTGTGTGCAATAGTTTCTATTTGTGTGTGTGTGTGTGTGTGTGAGAGAGACAGAGAGATCTCGGCGGTTGTTGGCGTCAGATCATGGAGGGATTCTGTTTGTTACAAGGACAGGCTTATCCCCGCCCCCAGGCGTCAGCATTATGATGATTGTCATGACGATGGAGTGTGAGTGACAGGCGGGATCACATGTGGTAGCCGGGGAGCACAATGCCCGAACCGCCTCAGTCTCTGACATTAGTTTGTCCTTCATCAAAACTTTACACTCACTCCCTGTGTTGCAAAATCTCTCTTCTGTTTTTTTACCATCTGTCTCTTTCATGTTCTGATCTCTCCTTAATTTCTATTTTTCTGGCGCTCTCTCATTTACATGTCATTTAATCATTATGTCTCCATTTATCTTTCTCCCCTCATCTCTCTCTCTCATTTACTTCTCAATCTTTCTGTCGTTGTCTTCCTCCATTGCCAAGTTTAAGATATACATTTGTGTTTTTTTCTGGACATCACACAACTTTCTAGGAAATCTAAATGATCAGGGACAAACACACACACAGTCATAGTGTATTCCCAGGCTAGTTATAAAAGTGGGCTCAGAACCACTTAGGGAACAGCAATGTTTGTGTGTGTGTCTGTGTGTGCGCGCATTTGCACACAAGCCATGTTTGTTTGTCTCAGCAGTGTTTTTTTTGCCAAGATGTAAGTGTTGATGCAAGCTCATACATGTCAGTGTGTGTGTACAAATGCAATGTGTATGTGTGTGTTTTGGTGAGAGAGCTCGAGCTTTTTGTGCATCACAGCAGAAAAGGAGGTCAGGGTTTGCACGGAGAGTCAGGCATTCATCATTAGCCTGCTGCAGCTGCCGGTAATGTTGCCTGTTACAGCCGTGATTAAGAGCCCAGCTTAGTTCCAGCAGCCAGTGCAGACGCACAAACACACACATACATGTGTCATCTACTGCTCCGGTACTCTGCAGTTTTGAAGAAAACTCCTTTACACCAATGTGTGTTTGTTGTATAGGGACTGTGCCGTATATGATCTCTAACTGCAAAGAGGCTTCTGGTGAGAAACCTGTCATAGTCACTTATGAAAAGAGCAATTCACACACACTCACATGCAGCAGGAAGTTGCACACAATCTTTGTGAGTGTATTTGTGAATTGTAATGGATGAATGTACGACTTCATCGCCATTTATGGAAGCCAAGAAACAGTCATGGCACCCTTAGTGTTCATCAGCTGTCTTCAGGGGGCGAATGATATTTTGTTGAAAAGTAGAAAACTACATTTAAAATCACTTTAGCCTTGCTGACCCTAATTAAATGGCATCATATCACACCACACCACAGTGTATCCTGGCAGCTTTAATTCAGGTTGACCTATCCTAATGTAAAGTCAGCAGATTCAGGGGGTTTGAAGTTGATAACAGTATTTTTGCCCAATGAAAAGAGAAAACTGATATTTCAACATAATCAGTGCCAATAAAAAATGATTTACTTTCCCTCATTCCCCTCTGTTTATCCCATTTTTTTCCATCTTCTGTCACCCCCCAGCCTTGCCTCACCTCCAGCCATTCAAGACAGTGTTCACCACATCTTTGATAATTGTGCTCATCTGTGCTCCACAGCAGGAAGCATTGTGTGACAAACCTCCTGGCCTGAGAAAATGAAGACAAGGACAAATAAAGACTTCACTGTATTCATTACAGTGCCTGGTGTGTTCATGTGTACTGTACAGTACCATAGGTGTTTCTTTGCTTTGAGACTTCAGGTTCTGTGTTGTCAGCCAATTCAGAGTTCACCTCATGTAGCCTTTTTCTCAAAGAAAATGCACTTTACAATGTTGCGCTGCCTAATATGTGATTTTTTTTTTTTTCTCGAGACTCAACTCAAACTCAAGACTCAATTACAACACTGCTGGGACCACTGCATACTATATATGTAATAACATACACATATCACACCACATTACAATGCACAAAATTACTCACTGACTGCTGTCACATTGATTCTGAGAGTTTCCTGTATCACAACCAGCAAAATCATTTATAGACCTCTAGTAATTCTGTGATGATTTCTCTTCTGGTCTACTCATGATAAAGAAGTCTAGTATTTTTATGATATGATACAGGATGCCAGAATTTCATGTATTTAATTATTAATGCTACTTGGGTTTGAGATCACACCACAGCTGTGAATAACAATGCTGTGTATTCCATAACTGTTAATTATAATGGAGCTTTTGGACTGTAGAATAGGAGCAACATGTTAGATTATACTGTAAGGGTGGCCCAGAGGACCACAGTAGACCAAGGTGAACTTCAAAAAGGTGCATGATTTATCCTCACTCAAACAGTGGCTGGTTCTGTTGGGAAATTCACTCTGTTCGTTTTAAAGAATTACACTGTGTGACCTAAACCAGACTTGCTTTGTCTTATTTTTATTTATCAAGGTAATGTGACCTGAGCATATTGATTAACACAGTCTTGCCATTTAGTGTCACATCCTATAGCAAAATATACTAAAAAAAGAGGGTTGTTATTTTAGTTATTCATTGTTTGGTTCATGAAATGCCTGCAAACAGAGTGACAGTCCAAGTGTCAAATAAATGCAGTTTAAAATCATAGAAGATTAAGAAAGCCATAAAATATTCACATTGGATAAACTGGAACATAAGTGTTTTACAATTTTAGTTAAAAGGTTTTGATTATTAAAATTGTTCTGCTCTGGTAATCAGCCTATTTCAGCCTTACACTATCATATCACTTTATTTATCCTGAAACCTTTTTAAAGACTCCTGTAGCTTATTAAAAATCATAGACTAAATTATGTAGACCAGACTCCTTGTGGGCCCTGAGGCAGAACTTTCTTGTATCTGTTTTGAATGTGAAGTATAAAGTAAGTACAGTCTCTATTCCTCATCATTTTCTGTTGCTGACAGAGATGTAACACTCACACGACACTCGGGTTGTACTATTAAATCTCACTGTACATTCTCTGACACAAACTTCCCCTTTCTCTGTCTCATAGTTTTCAGTCTTCTCTGCGCCTGTTTTGTCTTTCTTTCTTCTCTTTGCTCCTCTCCACTCCCTCCTCCATGTTGCTGGCATTCCCCCAGGCCTGTGCTATAAGGCGTGGAAGAGGAGCAGAGACAGAGCATTTAGTAATGGCTTCTTAATGGGCTTGTCGACAGCCACATTAGAGCGCTCGGGCAGCGGGCGAGGCCGGGCAACGATATGGCGAGCCAGATGCTGTGCCAGCTGTGGCACTCCACTCTCTCACTCACACACTCATTTGTAATCACATTTCTCATATGGGTGGATGCCATGTGCGTAAAGGAGAGAAAGCAGACAGACAAGCATATCCCCCTAATTCCTATCAGTGAGTTCTTTTTGTGGGCTCTGCTCTGTTTTTGATTCTTATTGTTTTTTCTACGTGGATGTAGTGGTATGAAACAGTTATGTGTAGTCTGTGAATGCAACTCAGTAGAAAATTTGAGCTTATCACAACTCTGTACTTGCCACTTTATTTGCTGAGATAGGAATAGCTTGCTACAGAACTACAAAGAAACGTAGCAAGAGACACAGGCAGCATGAGGGTCATACAGGTTTTAAACAAACCCTAAGCTAGACTTGTTTGAAAAGAGAAAACTCCAGCAAATGCAGCCTCAAGGTACAGAAGCATTATTATGAATTTGGGGACAGTCTGTGTCAAGCTTACTCAGATTTGTTCCAGAACATCATGTAAGCAGAGCCACACCACTGTCTGATTGTGCAATTGCTCATGCCTTTTATCCTGGTGAGTATTTTGTTACCATCCCAGATAAAAATGAAAATAAGCTGTTAATCATCCGGATTTATCTACTGAGGTCAGGCAGTTAGATTTAATATCTGTTAAGAACTGTCACAAACAGAGACACTGAACAATTTTCAGTTCTTACACTTAAACTAGAGGGGTGCTTTGATCATGCATTGCAGAATTAATATAAGGGCACAACATAGAAAGAAAAAAGAAAGGAGACAAAAAAGGGAGGAAACAAATATGATAAAAGGAGGGAAGAGGTGATGAAGAGTACAAGGATTCAAGTTGAGCAACTAAATGAATAAGAAACAGGTACAGGAAGGAAAGATGGAAGAGTATGACAGGAAGGGTAAAGGAAATGCAGAGAGGGAGGCAAGAAGAAATGGATGGATGGATGATTGAATCAATTAAAATATGTTAATTGCTACAGCATAACCAGGGTCTAGAATGTCATTGCCAAAGGTCTTGTAGGTCTCCAGTAGAGGGAGCCATGTGTCAGTGACTCTAATCTTTATCAAAGACCTTCATCAGTACAGTAAAGTGTGCGTGTGTGTTTATGTGTAAGTGCACATGCAAGAAGGTGGTTCTTTGTTTCCCCATCTCATCAGATCTCACTGCTACCAAGCTAAATTTTCCTGTGTCAGCGATGATCATGTGCGATAAGGATGCAAAGAGAATAAGGTATGTGTGTGTTTGTGTGCATTTATGTATTGGCAGCTGATAGCATTTTAGGACTTGAAGCCTGTATACGAACCGGTGGCCCTCTGTTCTATATTGACAGGTGCCAATTGTCACCCCAATGACTGACTGTTCTGTATTGATGGACTGGACCTGCTGACAGAGGAACAAAAGAAAACAGAGCAGTGTTGGTGGAGAGAGGCAGAGGAGACAGTGAAGAGAAGATAGAAAAAGACCAGTGGAGTACGCTGGCTCGGACCTGTGAAGGTCATGGTAAGGAGAGAAGAGGAGCGGGAGGGAAAGTTTCTAACCTGGGTGTGGATCAATTCACATTGACCTCTATCACAACGATACATTTTCCATATAAATCCACCGCTGAAAATTGTTTAGCTTCCATGGATTTACTTCACTCACTGATTCTGCTTAGTGATGGTCATGTGCTGTAGTTAGATATTTGTATTCACATTTATGTTACGCTCAATACCAGGAGCCTGAAGCTGCTAAACAGATTTCAAGTATTTTTTTAATTTTTTTTTACACCTGTGCACTTCCTACAGTGACATGTCAAAATGTCTTCCATGAAAAAGGCCTAAAAGTGCATTCAACCAAACAACTAAGACTGTATATAGTGCTACAGGGCAGTGCTAAGACTTTCTGAATTTTTTTTGTTGTTCTGTTCCATCTCTCTTTTAGGAAAGTAGATGTTAGTGAGGGGGGTAGCATGACATGTTTAGCTGATGTCTAAAAGGTTTTCAGCCTTCTGCAGAAAAGGCTTAAATCAAGATGAGTGACTGGGGAAAGGATATGTCAGTCTATTGTCCAGGGCCAAGAAACGCAGTAGTCAGAGAGTAGTATTTGTCGATTGGCTGGAGGTAGGAGGTTAAAAGAACTGGATGTGAGCTGCAACAGAGAGCCACTGCAGCGTAAAGCTCATGAGTTCTGGCTCTAATATCAGTGTATATACACATAAAAGGTGTAGCTTTGGACTGAGTTGACATCTTTGTGTCTTCTGATTGACCTTCACAGCCCAGTACACACACATCTCATCCCACTAAAATAACTTGCACATATACACACACATACAGTACATGTATATCTGTGTGTGTGTATGTTGCCTCACCTCAGGAAACGTGTGGCTAATTCCATTAGTAGGAGGAGCGAGTATGTAAATAAAAAAAAAAGAAGTTGATGGAGTAAGCCTGGGGGGGCCACAGACACACACCCACATACAACCACATGCATACACTTTCCATGATGCTGTCTTCATAACAATATAAAGACACGCAAACTGAACTTGCTTTATGTGTGCAAAATTAAATTTTATAAAAAGAATTTAACATTGCGGAGTTTCAAAATTAGGGCTGTCGCCTCACAGCAAGAAGGTTCGAGTCCTGGGCCGACCCGGGGCCTTTCTGTGGTGTCTGCATGTTCTCCCTGCGTGGGTTCTCTCCGGGCACTCCGGCTTCCTCCCACAGTCTAAAGACACGCCGCTTAGGTTGTCTCTAAATTGCCCATTGTAGTGAGTGTCAGTGTGTGTGGTTGTTTGCTACATGTCAGTTCTGTGGTAGACTGGCAACCTGTCCAGGGTGGACTCCGCCTCTCACCCAGTGTCACAATTTTCCTACTTATTGTACCAACATTAAATGTGAGGGTAAAGGCTACTCAATGCTGCTGAATGTTCACATATAGCATTAAACTGTCCTGAAACACAAGAAGAGCATGCTCCGACTGTAATTGGGGGGTTTTGCTCTTGAAAATGAGGTATTGTTGACTGAGTGTGGTGTACAGTCCTGTGCTTGATTGACAGGAAATGAGAGAGGAGGCTGGGTAGTCTGTCATGCCGCTAATGTGATAGGTAATGCTCCGAGGACACACACACACACACACACACACACACACACACACACACGAGAGTGGCCCTTTTTCTCTATATGTATACTACTACACACAGTTCAGTTTCCTCCATCTCTGTCTGTCTCAATCTCCTTCCCATGCACACACAGACACTCTCACTCCCACACACCAGTATACACATTTCAGTGTTTTGGCTGCATGACGTTTTACTGCAGGTTAATAATGAGTGGAGAGGTGTGTGACCCTGTCAGAAGTGTGAGAAACTGACCCAAAGAAATCAGACAGGGGCTGAGACCCCTCAACCCTGAGGGCATAAAATGTGGGTGTGTGCAAAAGAGAGAGAGAAGTAGGTGTGTGTGTGTGTGTGTCTATCCCCATCTTCTCATAGATGACATATGTGAGGTCATTTACATACTATTACCTTTCTACTGTATCAGCCACACACACATACAGATTGGTGGATTGGTCTGGTGTGATGCCCCTGTCAGATGTCAGGATGCAGATGGGATAGGATGGGGGGGGTAGGTCATGTCTGTTTCCCTCTCTCTCTCTTTCACACATACACACACCTGTCTTGCCCCCCTAAGGTGCCAAGTTACTAAGAGAGTTGTCAGCACGTCTGTGTGAGGCTTCAACTGTTTGACATCTGCCAGCAACTCCCCAACACACACACACACACACACACACACACATATCTCCCCTATCACCTCATTTCAGAACAACAGAACATCTCCCAGTGATCAACATTTAGACACAGTCATCACTTACTGGTCCCGTCTCAGCTGCCAACACACACACACCAACACACTCTCATTAAGAGACAGACTGTGACAGAGATGGGAGACTGGAGAGATTGAACCACAGGCTGGAGACAAGATGCAAAAGAACGAAGGGGAAGGCAAGTATACAGTAAATGTCTGCCCCAATGGCCTGGAATTACTCATGTTGTAGAGATGTAAATCTGTCCAAACTGTGGGGACTCAGTGTCCTATTAGAGCAAAAAGCAAGTTCCCAAAATGTAAATTGCTACATTTTAGAATGATGACTTGGTTTAAGGTTTTGGTGAGGTTAGGATTAATCAAGCAGTGGCTGTGGTCAATGTTAGGTTACATCTCCAGGAAATGAATGTAGGTCAATGTAATGTCCCCTGAAGCAATGGAAACACAACGTGGCTGTGTGTGTGTTTGTATTAAGGCTTTTGTTTTTTCAGCTCTCCATACTCACACTCACAGTGAGAGAGAGACAAGCCTCCATTTGTCCCACTTTTATAAAAGATAATGAAGCTGTCATTCTCAGACAACTTCACTGGATTGTTACAGAAGCACGAGCTGCTGCTCTGGGACACACACACACCCACACACCTACATAAGCACACAATACTGCGAGTGATCCCCCTGGCCCCTGTTGAGCATATGTCAAATATAACCATGTATAGAAATTGAAATTGTGTAACATATGTACAGCTGGTGGAATGGCACGAAGAGACAAAGCACAGGTGCACACCCAGCTCATAACGTTAACATGCAAACAGACAGACAGGCCTGATAGCGAATAAATGAAACCAACCTTGAATGGCAAAACCCTCTGTGAATACATGTCTCCTCTTTACAAGTCAATTTCATATCCTGTAGTTGAAGACAAATCTAAAGAGACTTGAGAACAATGTAGAAAGAGAAATGAGTTAAAGGTTTACAGTGAGAAAAGTGAAGTGAGTCTAAGAGACTGTGATAGACAAAGAGGGGATGGAGACCTTGTTAAGGACTGGGAACGTGTTAAATATGGGTTTAAAAGTCACGACAGTGCCACTGATTCATAACTACTGTACAACACCACAGCATTAGACAGAGCGTTTATTCTTTCAGACAGCTCAGTGGGTAAGAACACATGGCATTACTTAATGATGTTGTAGGTTTAAGGTCTTTGCCTTTTTGTCAGGCTGTCAAAATGAATAACATTTTACCTTTAAATGGCCTAAGTGGTTTTTAGAGACAGTCGACCTTCACTTTTTTTGAGTGTCAACACTAGGACTGATACAGTCATTCACTGTTGTAGCTATGCAATGTAGATATATTGTCAGCCTTACAAACTGATATTTTTCTCTCAACCACAGATGTTTTATAGTTTTTTATAAATATTAATTGTACTACTATAAGAATATCTATAAAATAATTTCGTTTTCTACATATAGCATATTTTATATATATATAAATTATTAGAATAGATCACATTCTTTTTGGTAGCTGTAGTGTAGAATCACCCATTCTTAAGGGAAGTTAGATGAGAAAACGAATGCCCCTCTCATGTCTGTACAGCAAATATATAGCTGCCAACAGCTGGTTACCTTAGCTTAGCAAAGCATAAACGTCTGGTGCATCTTCACCCGCTGCCAAGGTGCACAGATGAGAAAAAGCAACAATAAAGTTGTTCAACATACTGCAAGTGTTGCTAGAGTTTTGACCCTTTAGCTTAGCTTAGACTGGAAAGAGGTCATTATGCTAACCATTAGTCTACATTTACATTTCAGGCCTTAATGCTCACTTCCAATCCTTTTTGTCAGGGCTTTTTCTGTTTATGATTCACATTCATGTTTGTAGGAGACACGTATCTGAACATCTTTGTGTTCAGATAAACTGATGCATGAAATACATATGAATAGCATATGCAGAAGAATAACAACAATAACATAATTTCCCCAAAAACTGCTTGGTTATGATATGTTCCTTCCAGTTTGATCTTACTATTTTGACAGTGCTCGCATGGTCAGAGATTGAATATGAATAATATCTAGGGTCACATATAAAAATGTCCCGAGATCTGTTATGAAAAAGTTTGATTTGGTTTGTTCATACTTTCATGAAATAGTCAGCTTAGAGGGAAAAAACTGGATTTGAGCCACTTCAGCTATAATGTAAATATGGCCTTTAGTTTAACTTTTAGTTCCTACTATGAGACTGATGCCTACACTTCCCATAATCCAACTTAATAGCAGCATTTGTCAGACGCACATCTTTCAAATTCTGCACCTGCAGTTTGAAACATAGGATTTTTGTTAAATATTTGAAGTTGCCAAGCCCAAGCAAACATAACCCTAATCACTGGGGGTGTTTTCTCAGGCTTAAAAACTACTCCAGAGCCACAGAAAACATTATACAAAAGTCTTTACAGGCATAGAAGCACTTTCATCATGACGAGTGAACTGATCTTGAGAATAAAATTATTAGAATTGAGAGAGAATTCCTTTAATGGGTTTTAATAAAAAAGAGAGCCTTGTGCATTCTTCATCTGCTCATTTCAATGCATTTGACAATGGAGAAACTCAGATAGTAAGAGGCAGAGCAGAGAGAGCCACTGTGTTCTGTGTGAACGTGAGCAAATGAGAAGAAGAAGGGAAAAATCGGGGAGGTAGTTAACTGTTTTTC